ACCTATCTATCTGATATTCTGCCATTCACGGGTCCCCAGGCTGCTTGCAAGATATGCGGCCTTTCTCTTCTCAATTGATAATGAAGGAAGGTATCACCGAAAATCCCAGGAAGGTTTCCTTTTTTATAGCAGATGGAGGGTATCCACAAAGCGGGCTGCTCAGGCAGAATTAAGACAGTTGCAACAAAGAGACCAGCTTGTCCCTTCCAGTTGTGGGACTGGAAGAAATTCAAGAGAAAGCCTGACAGGGACGGGATGTAAAAAAACAGGAAGTACAAAAGCAGACCCAGGAGGGTGGGAGGTAGACCCGTGCAAGAGCTTTAGGAACTTCCGTAATCAAAAAAGATGCCAACGCCAATGGAGCAACTTGACATCTATCGTTGAAGGGAGCCTCGGTGAAAAGAAGGGCCCAGGCGGTCCTAGCCATGCTCCTTGCAGAACTGGTCCTGTTTCCCTCCAAAGCAGCACAAGGAAACTTTTCATAAGGGGGGGGAAACGAAGGGCTAGATTTACCTTGACAATGGGTTGGGTTGGAAGGGTACTTGCTTAGAAGGACAGTTCTGTGCCTGCCCCTCCTCTGCGGGTATCTCAGTAGCTCTTGACTTGGGCTTGGAAGCTAAGGAGGTCAGACCTCCAGCGAGAGTAGGCTGGAGTGGGAAGGTGAAAGGAAGAAGGCAAGGGCAAACCACTTCTGCGTTGTTGCCAAGAACACAACATGGGAAGGACTTATCCCATGAGTCGAACTCAACTTGCAGGAGACTTTTATTTGCTTTCGCTTAAGCAACACTTCGTTCAGAATGGTCTAGGCTCAGGACAAAACAGGAGCAACAATGGAAGAAATAAGATACAAACAATGAGAAACCAAGATGAAAGGACACAGACGTGGCCGTGTGAGAGTTAACAAAGAGGCACGTTAATTCTGAAAGCACGCTTCTTTGCTGAACGGGCAGGGAGGCCCCACAAAGGCCAAAGATTGCAAAAGATGCAGGCGTACAACAGCCTAAGTAAAGCTTTGACAGAAAAGATAATAAGCATTTATTTAAAATATTCCTTCAGTGTTCTGCACACTTACAAAGTGTAGGAAAAATCCTCCCTTTTGAATGGTTAGAGATAAGTCAGAGAATAATGGATCGTGCAGAAAATCCTTACGGAAGACCATCATCAGCTGTTCAATCACTGCAGCTTCTGAGTTAGCTAGCAAGGACTTCCTTCCAAAACTAACTCCACAATAGTGTCATTCTATGCCTCCCTTCTAGGCAATCAGGTTCTTCGCTTCTACTGTCCACTGGAGAGGCTCGCATGCCTCCAGTCAGTGACAGTGAACCCAGCACTGGGTGAAGCTGGAAGCCAGCAACATGAAGAATGGCAGAACCGCAGCCACGCTGGTTCCAGTTACCAGAGGAATTCCCCCCTCCAAGTCTAGTGACAGTGTTGGGCTCCCCAGCTGTGGGGAAAAGGGAAGATAAAGAAAGCTCTCCCACTCTACACATCTAGTAAACCTATTACCGGAGCAAATGGGAGGAGAAACTCCATCCCAGAATACCCTCTCCACAGTAGGAAAGGACACCCAAAGTTGCTGGCTGCGAGTACATTACAGGCAGTCGTTTAGTGACTGCCTCATTTAGCGACCATTCACAATTACCATGGTGATGAAAAAGTAACTTTACAACCAATCCTCACATTTATGACCTTCACAGGTCTGTAAAGCAAAGGAAAATTGATGTCAGATCGTAAGCACAGTCATGATTTCACTTAGCAACTGCTTTGTTTAAAAAACAAGTTGGTCCCCATTGTGGTTGCTAAACAAGGACTACCTGTAATCTGCATGGCAACCTCTGTTCCCCATCTGATGTTCCTCATGGCTCACGTGAGTGGTGCTGACTTTCCTTCCCCACCCTTGTCAAGGAGGACTGGTCAGGAAACAGTTGCATGAGGCAGTTGTTTTAATGAGATGTCCCTGGCTTCATTGGGCTTCACCTCTGTTTCTCCCCGAGGGCTTCACCGTGAGGGCAGGAACAACCAAGAAAGCTCTCTCTCTTTGGCCGATGTCACTGGACTGATCCTGGCCGAGCAGCCTCCGCCCCGTTCTGGTTTACAGTGTATACAGCAAGGAGACAAAGGAGAGGGCGAGGAAGATCCCAAAGGCATGCAGAAACCCCAGCCAGTCCACCAGGCTACCTGCCATGGTGCTGAAGGCCAGCTTGCCTAAGACCTCCAGGGCAGCGAGAAGGCTGTAGTGAGTGGCCTATGGGGGAAAGGAAGGCAAGGTGAGCCAAGCAGAGCGGGGAGTCTGGACAGCTCTCCCCGCTATCCAGGGGGAAGGGAGGATGAACAGACCCTGGAAGGGACAGGGTCTTTGCTGAGCCCCAGTACAAAGCCATCTTTTAGAACAGCACAGTGAGCTCATCTTCCTTGTCTTAAGCCCCCAGACCAGAGATACAGATGATACATGCTTCATGCACCCATTTACGAGGTTATACATGACAAACTCCCCACCACCTGTGAGCTGTCTTTACTTACACTGACCACCAGGAAGCCACGCACACCCATCAGGCATACGCAGCCAGAGATTTCTCTGTGGGATTCAAACTCTCTACTGGGAATCGAAGTCATGGGCCATTGTGGCTACATGCACCCAATGAACCCCACGGGCAAAGGCATGAGGCTCTGAACCAAGAACCATACCTGGATCCCCTCTGTTGCCTTCTGAGTGCAGAGCATCATCATACTGAAGACCAGCGTGGTGATCAGCCCCCCAATGAAGTGCTGGATACAGATGCTCAGCACTGCGGCCACTGCAATGAGATGCCATCTGGTCAGCTCAGGTGAACAGCTGCTTGGCTTGTATCAACAGGAAAGGGTTGTGGCTTGGAATCAGGAAGGGCAGCCCCTCGCTGATAATACTGGATAGAAATGCAATGCCAGATGTGGGCCATGTTCTCGGTCCACTGACCCGTGGTTTGCTTAACCACAATTCACTGAATAAGCCACAATGGTCTGGGTTCACACAGCATGCTAAACCACCGATGGGCAACCTCACAGCCCACAATGTGTAGATGCACGTTTGGTTGCGGGTCCTCCTTTGTCCATGTGTCTGAGCGTGGCACAGTTCTCACCCCCCGTTTTGGAGTCTCTGCTCTGCTGCTCCCCCAGTGCACCTCTACCGCCACAACCCCCAACCCTGAAGGAGGGCAAAACTCAGATCCCGCTGGCCTTTCACAGGGTTCCCTCTTGCACACCAGAGAAACCCTCCTTTGCGCTTGGTCGTTCCGGTACATGCCAGGATCAGTGCCTCTTTTCTCCCCTCCCACTTTCAGATCAAGGTTCCCAAACTTTGTATCGCTTTCCTGAGTGGTAACTTGGGACTCCTGCATGCAGAAGCCGCACGTTCTTGAGCCAGGGGGGAACGGCTCCTGCGCTGGGCAGAACCCGACTCACCTTCAAAGGCAACTGCTTTGTTTGTGTAGGTGACCATCACCCAGGTCTGGAACAGCAGGTTGCAGAAGCGGAGGGTCAGCAAGGTCTGCAGAAGCCTGGAGTTCCTGGTGGGAACAGGCCACAAGGAGAGGTCAGCATGGAATGGAAGGCAGCATGGAACCAAAGGAGCATTCCAGGACATCACATGTTTGCTTGGGTGAAGACTTAAGACTTAGAATCAAAGATGTCAGGCCAATTTGGGAGGGAAAAAACCCTAAAATTCTTAGAATTTGCATCCAGGGCAAAAAGTGGTCTTCCCTTGGGAAGCCAGAAAAAAGGATGGTGCCACCAAACCCTACTGCCAGGGTGGAAGTCAACAGGTGGATTTTAGGGGATCCAAAGTAGCAGGGTTGCCTATTTGGGAATGTTAGTCACATCCCTGTGTTCAGTAGCAGATGTTCCCCAGAGGAAAAGCTTTCCAAGTAGAAGCACTTTGGAGCTTTAGTTATTCTGCTGGACTTTCAGAGCATTTTTTTCCCTTCATTTCTTTGGCTGGGAGCAAATTTTCATGACTCTCACAAGAGCCAGCCAATTAGGCCTCTGCACTGTTGAAAAGAAAGGGTTCTTTTGAACTGCAGCTCTCCAGAAAAGAGTGGATAAAATTCTAAAATTGTTATATTTAATATAGCATTTTAGTAATATTATTTTGCACTGGTATACTCTATATTGTGACAGCCAGTTTGGTAGAGTGGTTAAAGGCACTGAGCTAGAAACCAGGAGACCATGAGTTCTGGTCCTGCCTTAGACAGGAAGCCAACTGGCTGACCTTATCTCAGCCCAGGAAGGAGGAGGCCAGGGCAAACCACTTCCAAAAATGCTGCCAAGAAAACTGCGTAGACTTGCCAATGTAGTCACCAGGAGTCAAGACAACTTGAAGGCATAATTCTATACTGTACTGTTGCTCTGGTGTACACCATTGAAAGTCATCCAGACTGAAGCGGTATACAAATCTTATAAAAGATTTCCTATTTGTCCAAACACTGTGCAGACATAAAGATAAAGCTTACAGGAAACCAGAATGCAAGTTAGGCCTCCTCAATATTCCCCGCTTCTCCCATGGGCAAATGTCGAAGATGAGAGAGAGGAATAGCTTCAGGAAAGAGAATAATTACACCAGCCTTCTGGAGATGCTGGATTTTAAATCCCAGGGAGAGGACTGAGATTCCATTTACTAGAGAAAATACTTTCCATCATTTACCTGTTTTTTGATGTCAGGTGGCCGCCTAGTGAAGAGCCTGTAATGGAAAAGACGGTGGCCACAATCCCGTTCCAGAAACCAAGCTTCTGTGGAGAGAAGCCGTGATCTAGAAGGAAGAGGGGGAACATGGAAACCGACCCCTGTTCACCTGCAGAGAGAACTGAGGTTCAGTTCCTGGTGATGCACACGAGAAGGGATCTTGGATGGCGGCCGAAGTGGGAGAGTCCAAAAGGCCAAGGGAAATGCTGTCGTTGTGAATCTCAAGGCTTGGGCTGGTCTCACAAAACTAAGCAAACCACAGTGTAACGTAACAAGATGTATGAACGTAGCTCTTGCAGTTTGTAAAATTCAATTCATAGCACAATGGTACACAAATGCAGACAATTGTGCTTCATTCAGCCAACCATGGTTTAGCCTCATGAGTGAATCAAGCCAGTGACATTTACAAAACAGATGGCCTAAGAAAGACAATGTTTGTTCAGAAAAGGGGTGGTGGTGGCTGCTAATGGTACAACGCCCCCACCCTTTCTTTGCTTCTGCAAGCCTTTAGCAAAACTCTGGCTAACGAGAACCTTAGTGGCACAAACATTTCCTGCTATTTTCTTGGAACCAACCACCTGCTGCGGTCATTTTCTTTCATAATACAGCAACTTTTTTAACAGCATTAGCAAAAACCTGCTAGGTCACTGATTTCTTTTATAGGTCAATTTTACTTCCTAAGGTAAATGTTGAAGAAGCAACATTAATAATCCACGCTATTCATCAATCCATCTGTAGCAAGATTTATATTCCCCCCACCCCAAAGGACATCTAAGAGATGAGCAAAGCTTTTCACATGGAGCACACCCAGAAGTGAAATTCCTATTGCAGCATCTGGTGTGAAATGCCATTGCCAGAAAAGAATTGTGAGACTTGCACAGGGTTGGCCTGCACAGAGCAGCTCTCAAACAAAGTTGGACTGACATGTTTTTCCAGACTACAAACACCTCTTCCACAAACAACAGATACAGTATTACTAAGGTTCACCAACAAATCAATTCTGCAGTTCCTAGTCTTGAGAAGGACTCACCCAATTTATAGATTAGGATTAAGCCAGCAGTCCAAGGAGTGTCTGGCACAAGGAGAAGCTCGTGGAGGAGATCCCAAAGGCTTAAGTTCGTGTCCTTAGCATGGCTGTCCTGGGAAGGGGATCTCAGATGAAATTTTGAGGTGAATATGATGGCCACGACATACAATAGAGCCAGATACACAAAGAGAGCTCTCCAGCCTAGATGATGGAGGAAAGCGAGCAGGCCACCTCCTGCCAGTACAGAGCCCAGCTTGTAGGCCACAACCTGGATGCTGTTGCCGAACCCCACCTCCTCATGTCCTAACAACTGGATGGCAACCCCATCAACTGCAACATCCTGGACAGAAGCAAACAAGTTCATGAGCAGTAAAATGATGGCCACCCAGAGGAAGTCCACTTCTGGTGTTAGCAAGGAGCAGGCCAGGCAGGTCAGGGCCAAGCCCCACATGGTCAACAACAGCCAGATCTTCTTGGTGAAATACCAGTCCACAAAGGGGGCCCACAGCACCTTGAGGATCCATGGCAAATAAAGCAGCCTAGCAAGGCTGATCTTGGTGAAGGAGACACCCACTGTTCGGAAATAGATCGGCAGCAGTCCAGACTGTAGCCCATATGGTATTCCTTGCACGAAATACAGCAGGAAGAGCAACAAATATTTGAAGGTCATTCTTCACCTGTGGTCCACCCTGCAAAGAAAGGTGGGCAGGCTTAAAGCGGTGTCTGATTGGAACATCTGCAGAAGGAAAGCTTCAGTGAGGAGACCTGAGAAGAGCAGGCTGGCTTCCAGATAACAGGGGGAGAATCCAGAACCTCTTTGCCTTATCCAGGAATCTCAAAAGCACCATTGGGGGGGGGGGGGGTCTAACACCACCATCAGCAACTAGGCATCTAGGAATTACCAAATGAAAATCCTGCCACCCCAGAAAAGAAAGATGAGAGACTACAGGATGGATTACACCTTTCTCTCCTCCATTTGGAAGGAAGTGGAAATGCATGTAAGAAAGAAAGATTCTTCCTTTTTTCTTCCTTT